TGGAAGCAGTCGACGACGCACAAGTCCTGGACGCACCCGAAGACTCGCGTTGTCCCGATTCACGTACCATCAGTGCTGTTTCTACTTCTGACCCATCATCTCCTGATGTATTTGGCCCATTCATTGATGACAACCTTACGTCAGTGCAGCGTTCCCAGCTTCTAGACCTGTTGCAAGAATACCGTTCTTCTTTCGATGTCGGGCGAAGTTCTCTCGGTCGCGCGTCCACTGTTACGCATCGTATTGACACTGGGGCCCATCCACCATTACGGCAACGTCCATACCACGTGTCGCCTGCTGAACGCCGGCAAATTAACGAGCAGGTTGACGATATGCTCCGACGCGACGTCATTCGGCCCTCGGACAGTCCATGGGCGTCTCCTGTTGTTCTTGTTGCGAAGAAAGATGGTTCTGTGCGGTTCTGTGTGGACTACAGATGGCTCAATAAGATCACTCGCAAGGATGTCTACCCACTGCCGCGCATCGACGACGCAATGGACAGCCTTCACGGAGCCCAATTTTTTTCTTCTCTCGATCTGCGCTCGGGGTACTGGCAAGTACCCCTGGCTGATGACGCTCGACCGAAGACTGCCTTCATCACACCCGACGGCTTGTACGAATTCAACGTCATGCCGTTTGGTCTGTGTAATGCACCTGCGACATTTGAGCGCATGATGGACACCGTACTGCGCAACTTGAAATGGCACACGTGCTTGTGTTACCTCGATGACGTTGTTGTCTTCGCTCCAGATTTCTCCACCCATCTCCAACGTCTAAAAGAAGTTTTCGCACGTGTGAGCAATGCCGGCTTGCAACTAAATCTGAAGAAGTGCCGCTTTGCAGCACGCCAACTCACCATCCTAGGGTACGTCGTGTCCAAGGATGGCATTCTTCCTGACCCAGCCAAGCTTCGGGCCGTGGCCGAATTTCCAAAACCTGCGTCCGTCAAAGAACTGCGTAGTTTCGTGGGCCTGTGCTCATACTTCCGACGCTTTATACGAAACTTCGCCACGATTATATCACCGCTGACGAAGCTCCTCGGAAGTAACGGGCCCCTCAATTCGTGGTCGTCAGAGTGCGACAACGCGTTCTTGAAGCTCCGCCACTTGTTGACGTCTCCTCCCATTCTCCGCCACTATGTCCCTACGGCCCCAACAGAAGTGCACACGGACGCCAGTGGTGTAGGCCTCGGCGCTGTCCTGGCGCAGCGCAAACCCGGTTCTCTGATTATGTTGTGACATATGCAAGCCGTACGCTCACAAGAGCCGAGACAAACTACACCGTCACGGAAAAAGAGTGCCTGGCGATCGTCTGGGCTCTTACAAAGTTTCGACCTTATTTGTATGGTCGCCCATTCGATGTCGTCACTGACCATCATGCACTATGCTGGCTGTCATCATTGAAGGATCCCTCAGGCCACCTCGCCCGTTGGGCTCTTCGCTTACAAGACTACGACATCCGCGTCCTCTACCGCAACGGACGCCAGCATGCTGACGCCGACGCCCTCTCGCGCTCCCCTCTGCCTGAAGCTAACGTGCTCTGCTCAGTATCCTCGGTTGTTGTTTCTGCCATTGATGTTGACATTATCGCTACCGAACAGCGAAAGGATAATTGGATCGCCCAACTGATCGACTTGCTCTCTGATCCGTCCGCAACGCCATCCACGCGTGCCTTGCGTCGTCGAGCTCACCATTTCGCCATTCGTGACGGCCTCCTACACCGACGCAATTACGACGCCGATGGCCGACAGTGGCTACTCGTGATACCCCGCAGTCTGCGGTCGGAGATATGTGAATCCTTCCATTCTGATCCACAGTGCGCGCACTCTGGGGTATTCAAAACCTACCATCGCATTAGACAACGCTACTTCTGGCGCGGGATGTACCGCTACGTCCAGCAGTTCGTTCGCTCCTGTCTCGCTTGCCAACGCCGCAAACCGTCCGCACACATGTCACCAGCCGGTCTGCAACCGCTACCTTGCCCTGACCGTCCGTTTGGGCGCATAGGTATCGATTTGTACGGACCACTTCCTCTGACGTCCACTGGCAACCGCTGGGCCATCGTCGCCGTAGATCATTTAACGCGATACGCCGAAACCGCCGCTCTCCCTGCGGCTACTGCGCGTGATGTTGCGTCCTTCCTACTACATCGATTTATATTGCGCCACGGTCCACCCCAGGAGCTTCTCAGCGATCGAGGCCGTGTCTTCTTGTCAGAAGTCGTCGATGCCATTCTCACCGAGTGCCATTCTGTCCATCGCAAAACTACTGCTTACCACCCGCAGACGAATGGTCTGACCGAACGCTTTAACCACACCCTCGGCGACATGCTGTCGATGTACGTCGCCGCCAACCACACGAATTGGGATACCATACTGCCCTTCGTCACTTACGCCTACAACACCGCCCCTCAGAGCACGACTGGTTTTTCACCTTTCTTTTTGCTGTACGGAAGGCACCCGTCACACATCATCGACACGATACTCCCGTACACGCCGGATCCATCTGAGTGTACACCTATTTCCGAGACCGCCAGGCTTGCTGAAGAGTGTCGCGAGCTTGCCAAGACTTTTACGGCGCATGAGCAAGAGCGGCAGAAGAATATTCGTGATGGCTCCGCCACTTCTGAGCCCACCTTCCTTCCTGGTTCCCTTGTATGGCTCTCAATCCCGACCTCTGTAGCTGGCCTTTCTTCCAAACTACTCCCGAAATATGAAGGTCCCTACCGTGTGATCGAGCGCACATCTCCGGTCAACTATCTTATCGAGCCAATTGAACAATCTTCGGACATGCGCCGCCGCGGGCGCGACATAGTCAACGCGGAGCGTCTGAAGGCTTACTATGACCCGCTCGTAGTGACAAGCTGTTAGGTCGCCAGGCGGCTCCCTCTTCGACCCCGGGGTAATTGTACAGAAGCCGCCGAACACTGAAGTGGGTCGAACTCTTATGTGCTTTCTAGTGGGTCTGCCCAAGGAGAACGCCGCTCGCGCGGAGACCCCGTGTTTTGGCCGTTACTGTCGCCATTGTGCAGACTCGCTGTGTGCCGGCTAATAAACGCCATAACACTTATTATAGTTTACAGTTCATTATTGTCATGATACCAGAGACGAAACGTGACATCATGAGTCGCCTGGTTAGACCTCTTTATCCACCCTGTCCATTCTTCATACAACGGAACTTCATTGAAAAAAAAAAGAAATAAAAGAGCACAATGACATTGCAGAGAACTAGGAGAAAGCTCATACAAAAAAAAAGAATACAACAAGGCTTCGAAAATTGGTTAGAAAGCATACGCGTACACGCATCATTGCAAAGCAAAAAAAATGGCAGTATATCCATGGAGTGAAAGATGCAGAGTGGGGCGAAGCATTCGTCCGTCCATTCGTTCTTGCCTCCGTCCGTCCATGAGTCCGTCTGAGTGACCGTCCATGCGTCCATCCGCCCGTCCGTGCGTGCATCTGTTCGTGCGCCCGTCTCTGTGTTCGTCCATGCATCCGCCTCTGCGTCCGTTCCTGCGTCCATCCATGCAACTGTCTGTGTGTCCGTTCGTCCATCTATTCAAAACTCCAAGTACCCCAATCTCGCATCTTTTCATCATATATTCCCCATATAGAAGCACCGCCATCCAGCGGACATTCCAAGGACTAAACGAGAGGTGGCATACGCACTCTTTCTTACGGCTTGCGCTTCGGGTCTACTTCCCACTTTTAACCACCTCGAGTTCATGGTATATACTAGTTCATTGTATTCATGGCACTGCGGCTCAACGCTCGCTAAACTTTTCTAAAGCTAAGAAGGTTACACCCAGCGAGTATAACGTAGCAACCCTTTCTTCTCAGATAGTGCTCAATGTACATGCCAATGGCTGCTAATGGGGATCGCAACGTGCGCGTTAACTAAAAGCCGAATGCTCCTGTCTCTCATTCCCCATTAGCAGCCATTGGCATGTACATTTAGCCCTATCTTTTATTGTTCAATAACGCACAGAAGAAATCTCTTACCGGCACCACCTCGGAGGTCAAAATGTTATACTTGTTACACACTACAACGGCTACGAGGGACGAACGGGTGCCGCTATAAGGAGCTTTGCCCCTAAACGTAGAGAGAAAGAGAGCAGTAGTAGTACAGACACCGGTGTTCTAAATGGGAACATAAATGCAGGCTTTCGTGCATGAACAGCCACATGAGTGGTTACATACACAACTTTTATGCAGATACATATGAGAAAATGCTTGTAGTACTTCAGATTTTTTTATTGTCATACCGTAGCGAGAAACCAGCCATCGAATATCTGTGCAAAACCTATCAATGTACTATCAGCGTGACATGAAACCTGACCAGCGGCAAGCCTTTGCGATGCTATAGTGCCCGCCGTCCACTCATCACTACGAACAGGCGCGCATATATGCGGAAAACTGCCGAACAGGATGCGCGCGCCTGTCGACGGTGATAACTGGACGGCACGCACTACACTATCGCAAAGGCTTGCCGCTGTTCGGGTTTCATTTGACGCTCATAGTAGTACTTCCTACGAACATCGCCTGCTCGAAAGTCGGCTGATCTCTTTGCGATATCAAGGCCATAACGCTCGTATGGACGACTGAAACAAAAACGCCGCTCGGTCTTCCTCGCGCAACGGATTCCTCGTGTCCTGATAAGAAACGTCGTCGCCGCCGGAGTGGAACCGAGGCGTATGCAGATAACGCGCAACGAACGGGTTGGTTGTGTTTCCCTTGATAAAGATTCGCAACCACAGTGTTGCCAGTGGTGGGTGTAATGTGTATCCCGGAACCATCGAGATCCAGAGCATTTCGTCTGCTGCCTTCGTCGTCGAGCGAGCCTGTCACTGCTCTCCGTAATGTTTCAGTTCCCAGCGAGACAGCGCACAGCGAGATAGCACACCTCTCAGTGCGAGGGCTTGTTATCATCTATTCGCCGGGATAGGAAGCCACATACGCCGGTCGTGGTCTTACGTGCAGCATATGCCAGAGGCTTTCTACGATGACGGAAGAAGGCGAATCCAGCCTTGAGGGACCCTCTCCGTCGAGCCGATACCAACTGTATCCCGTAGATATAGTCTACCACAGTAACCACAAAACCGGAGAATATTGCGTCTACGTCTTCGCCAAGCATGTCGGCGGGGGTATGGATTCTCCGGACCGGCGAAGACTCGTCGTAGTCGAAGTGACGGGATGGATGCCATACATGTTCCTCAAGGTCAAGGACGACGACGTCGAGAAGATGGAAAGAACAGTTCTCGAGTTTCTTGAACAAGCCCGCGCCAAAGTTAATTTTCGTGCCAGATTCTCGCACAATATTAACTCCTCGAGTGACCTGAAGTTCATCGACGGATACGGCTACCGCCCGGACGACGCAAAGGAAAGATTCATGAAAGTGTTCGTCAGTGATCCAGGTGTGTATAAAAAGTTTGCAGAGATCGTACCGTACAAAGTGTACATGGCGCAGGTGGACCCCGTGTGCCAGTTTAAAATCGACGTTGGGTTGGCACATCCCAGCAAGCTCCTCTGCTTGGCGCCCAAAATTTTGCAATACGACGGACCAAACGGAAGTCTACGAATGAGCACGTCGTTTCGAGACCTCGAGGTTATCGACAACAAAAGTAAGGAGACTCCCGCATTGAAAGCCATGAGCATCCACATCAAGTGCACTTCTGAGTCTCGTGCGTTTCCCAAGGCCGAAAACATGGGCGACCAGATCATTCAGATAGCCTCGGTTACCACATCCGACATGCTACGCGCCAGACACGACAACGCGCACTTTGAGAAATGCGTCTTCGTTGTCGGCTCCTGTGACTCCGTAGAGGACGTGGACGTGAGGTGTTACGACAGTGAGACCAGAATGCTCGAGGAGTTTAGGAAACACGTGGTTTCGACTGATCCGGACATCATCACGGGCTACAAGGTGAGAAGTTTCGATTGGCCCTACATTCTGGATAGGTTCCGTCTCTTTAAGAGGTTTAATATATGGCCCTCGTTTTCACGGCGCCGTGACAGCGGAAACTGGTCTTACTACTCACGCACTGACAAAGATATCGTATGTTCACACGACCGCATCCTCATCGACATGTGTGACGTCATAAAGACTGAACGAAAGCTTAGATCGGACAGCTTGCACAGCGTTGTCGCGGAGTTTCTTCCTGATGAAGCACCGTTGGACGACCTCAAATGCTCTGAAATCAAAAAGGTCGACGAGGGCCCATTAACCACGACAACCAGTATAGCCCGATGCGGCGTGACGCGCGCCCTCATTCCACTGAAACTGATGATGAAGTTCAAAACAGCCATGTCCATACTAGAGCTATCCAACATAACTGGTGTCCCAATGCGGTACATATACGACCGGGGCCAACAAGTGCGCGTCATGACCCTCATCGCCAGGGAGGCCTACTCTCGTCAGACGTTATTCCCGGCAATGACAGTAGGTGCCACGGAACAACCAGACAGCCTGAATGACGACGGCAACGACTCTAGTACCGACAGTAGTGATGGCGAGGAAGAAAACAAAGCACAACCTTCATCTTCTAGAAAAAGAAAGGCGGAAAGTAGTAATTCTGGTGACGTTCGCTATCAAGGAGCCAAGGTGGTCGAACCAAAGATTGGATATTACGACGATCCTGTCTGCACGCTGGACTTCGCTTCCCTCTATCCGAGTGTCATCATCGCGATGAACTTGTGCTACTCTACTCTGCGCCTGCAGAACTCAAAACGACAAAGAGTGGATGCTCAAAAAGAAGGCAAAAAAGACAGAGAAGACGATGGCGATTGCTACAAGTACGCCCAAGGCAAGCCTTCCCCTGCGCGCGCGATGAGTTCGTGCCCGAAATCGTCAGGAAGGGAATCTTGCCAACAATCTTGGAAGGCTTGCTGAAATCAAGAAAGCAAGTGAAGGAGGAGATGAAAGAAAGGAAAGACGATCCTTTTATGTGGTCTGTCCTCAACGAGCGCCAGTTAGCCATCAAAAAGTGCGCTAACTCAGTGTACGGTTTCACGGGCACCAAGGAAAATGGATTGCTGTCCTGCGTTGAAATCGCTCGATCTGTGACGGCCTACGGGAGGACCCTGTTGAACAAGACCATTGATTACGTGGAGAAGTTTGCCCAGCACACCGTGATTTACGGAGATACCGATTCGGTGATGATTCTCTGTCGAGGCAAAACAGTAGCCGAAGCCATGAACATGGGCGAAATTCTGGCCGAGCGCATTTCCGATCTCTTCCCTCACCCCATACGATTGGAGTTTGAGAAGGTATACAGACCTTATATTCTTGTGGGAAAGAAAAGGTATGCAGGTGCCATGTACTCTGCGAACCCGGAGTCGCACGACAAGATTGACATCAAGGGACTAGACACTGTACGCAGAAATTGTACGCTGTACGTGTCGCGAATCACGAAAGACTGCATTCAAGACATCATCGAGAAAGGGAACATCGATGCCGCAGTAGAGAGAGCCAGGAAGGCCGTTGATGACCTACTCTCAGGTGGCGTGGACGCTGCAGAGCTGATCTTGTACAGGACGCACGCCAAGAAGAAGTACAAGAGTGCACAGGCGCACTTGTGTGTCGTCGACAAAAGGATCGCAAGGGGTGGCGAACCGGCAAAAGTGGGTGATCGTATTCCTTACGTCATATGCAAGGAATGGGTGACGGACGAAGAGGAACTCCAAAAGCAGCGTAAAGACCGACCGCATGAATTCGCTGAGGGCGAGAATAGGGCGGTGCAGCGCAAAGTCGCGTACAGGGCAGAAGACCCGGATTACGTTAGAGAAAAAGGCTTGTCCATTGACTACGCTTACTACGAGTGCAAACAGCTAAAGAGGCCTCTACTCAGATTGTTTGGACCTGTACTAGGTGGGGAGAAGAAGGCCGCCAGCAAAATATGGCCCACCAACAACTAGACTGCGTAACAGGAAGAGAATTCTTACTTTGTGGCTCAGTAGTGGAAGCCCCCCCCCCCACCCCCTTTTTTTTTACTTTCCGAGAAACCTACAACTTTTTTCAATAAACGGCCTGTTTGAGGAACAATTTTGCCCTTGTAATGTGTTGTCTGCTATTCAAGACGCAACACACGTGCTAACGTGAGACTAAGTAGTTTATTAAGTAGTTTAAAACTAAGTAGACATCGCAGCATGAATGTACACAGTAGGGATGCTCACATGCTATAGCGAGATGTCATGCGCATATGAGCTCATTTTTCCTATGTACTCTTTTTTACCAGGTATGCGCAGAGAAGTGCATTTTTTTCTTCTCATCTTTTTATATACGTGCGTACATTTATACAAACGTGAACGCTTCGGAAAAATCACAAGTGTTAAAAAATGAGCGACTTTGTTCGTCGCAGTTGAACTGCTAGAGCTCATTACGGTGAAAAAGAAACGGTCGAGCTGTCTGGCATAAAAGAACAGAGCTCTAACTTGGAACTGTTGGAATTTAGTGCTATGTCCCACACTTGTGCCAGTCTGCTCAGCCGTTTCTTTTTTATCGTAATGCGCTATACCAGTTCAAGTACTCTGGCAAAATGAGCATTTTCTTCAAAAGAAGGGGTTTGTATAGAATCACAATTGCCCTGCCGTGGTGGTCTAGTGGCTAAGGTACTCGGCTGCTGACCCACAGTTTGCGGGATCGAATCCCGGCTGCGGCGGCTGCATTTACGATGGAGGCGAAAATGTTGTAGGCCCGTGTGCTCAGATTTGCGTGCACGTTAAAGAACCCCAGGTGGTCGAAATTTCCGGAGCCCTCCACTACGGCGTCTCTCAAAATCATAGCGTGGTTTTGGGACGTTAGACTTCACAAATCAATCAAATAAATAGAATCACAATTTGCTCCGCTTCTCAGTAAGTTATCTTTAGTCGACCTGGACAAAAATATACCAGGTTTGTCCTCTGGTGTAGGTATTCGGGAATTATTTACGTACAGCGACAATTACCTCATAATTTTGCGTAACCGAGTTTCTCGTGAACCGCCAGTTGCTAACGTAGTCATTTTGTTTCGACGGTGCCTGAACACTTCGTCACTAACGAATGAACTGCCGACTAGTGATGGGAAGCTCCACTTCCTCGATATCAGGTTCACGTTCCTTGATAACCGGACTTGTATGAACCTACAGGCAACAAGCAGTTCTTGCTGTTCATCTCTGCTCACACTAAACTCGATAAAAGAAGCATCATTAGAACACGTGTAGTGTCCTCCTTTCTTGTCGTTGTGTTACTTTGCACTGAACATTGCCTCATGTCTCACAGACCAGGCTGAATTTTGCCCCTGGTGTCGTTCATTAGCAGCACTATGTTTGTGTATCGGTGACTGTTAATTCTAATCAGAAAAAAGAATGGAGCACTGGGTGGCGTGTCTTTCTTTGATGTAGAAGTACCTGGCCCACAAGACCCATTGGACTCCGTCATATGTAACTGCAAACACAAATCAATAACTCCCAAAAGAGACAGCCAGACAACTTTAGCTTCTTATGGAAGCCGCCTCGCCAACCCTGCAATATAAATGGACTTACCCGCTGCTTCAGAGCCACCGTTCTCTACTGATTGAACGCTTCCTCATGGTCAGCTTGAGACGAGCTCATTAAAGCTGCTCCTTTCTATTGTTAACGCTTGGTGTCGTAGTACAGCTTTATTGCATCTTGACAATATCATACTTGTAAGCAGCTTCACATAGAAGGTCTCGCTTAAGATGGCCGTCAGTGGCGATGTGCCACAGAAATTAGGCCTATCCCGCAACACCCTACTTCCACTAAAAACGAAGAATGCACCAGCTAGTTATTCAGTTGCATTTGCTCAACTTATGTGGCACATACACCTTTATTATGATGCTAGTTTAGTGATAAGACTTTCACATTTCTGTGGTGCTTTCCCGTTCAGGATTTCCGAATCCGTTGCCAAGGGTCCCGGACAAATTAGGCTCGATCAACAGCTACGTTGTTGAATATCAATAATCGTTAATGAACGAATACGCACAAGGTGTCGCCAATACACTCCATTCCCTTGTTCTTAATACAACAGACTTCCATGGCTACATGTCAGACTACTCCAGGTGGTCGAAATTTCTGGAGCCCTTCCCTATACGGCCTCTCTCATAATCATATGGTGGTTTTGGGAAACAGGCTTCTATAAACTCCCTTCACGAGGTACCAGCCCTTACCCGCATCGGTGGTCTAGTGGCAAAGGCACTTGGCTGCTAACCCGCAGGTTGCGGGATCGAATCCCGGCCGTGACGACCGCACTTTCGAAGGAGGCGAAATTGCTTGAGTCCCGTGCGCTTAGACTTAGGTGCACGTTAAAGAACCCCAGGTGGTCAAAATTTCTGGGGGCCTCCACTACGGCGTCTCTCATAAGCATGGGACCTTTAGGGACGTCGAAACCCAGCAATTATTAATAGTACCAGCTCATCTACCCTGGAATCTTAATCTCTTAAGTAAATCTTCCTGCGGAGAGTGCTAAATGTGCCCTCTTTCAAGTACTTGTGTTCTCGAAAGGACAATAAATTGAAAAAAGATTTTTTACTAATTAGTAACTAAACCCTTTAGAATAGCAACAACACTGTTCTTGCGTGACAACAGGATAAGGGTGAGAAAAGTCGAAAAAAGAAGGGCATGCAGGTATGACATCACCTCGTAGTTCACACACCTATGCTCACGGCGCAGTAATACATACTGAAGGCGTCTTCAGTGGCGCACAAGCTGACTTGTCCAACAGGAGGTAGGCAGTCCTTTGATTGGACGAAAGACTCAACGTACCAAGTTTAAGCGAATTTCCAGCGATGACACATAATAAATCCAGATCTTCTGTATGCAAAGCAACTATACAGGAATGAATTTTTTTAATAGATTTGTTTTTAGGAAAGTTGAGGCCCATGGGAGGCGACGGCTGCTATCTTTGGTCTTTACTTACATGGTAGTTGTGGTAAAATGTTGAGCAATCATAAAATACACAACTGAAGGAATATTGGGCATTCGCGTACGCAATAACTGTGATATAATAAGAACGTCCGCGTAACATAACAGTCCACAAAGCATCAACGTTAAAACAACTGAAATGTCTGCATGTCACGACAGTTGATCAAGCTGCTTGCAGAGAAGATATTCAACATTTACTAATAATCCCCTAATTGTCGCAGGATAACTGCAACCATCATGCTCAAAGAAACAACTGCTGAACAGACCACGCTTCACACAAATGGCCCACAGCATCGGGCGCGAAGGTTTTAAGGTATGTTCCCAACCTGTGATAAGTGCACTTTTCATGCACTTTAACTCATTTGAATTTGTGCCATAATTACACGTTACAGCCCAAACACACAATATACCCTACTCCGTTCCTAGCTTCATTGTCTGTTGTTTAAATTGAATCTGGCTAAATAAATTTTAACACAAACTAAACGGCCGGTAAGCGGATTATTGTTCTTACACCACTGGTGGAATGAAAATCACTTCAGTTAAACTGATCTCACTTGCATCAAGTAAAAATGAAGTCACCAGGATATTATAGCTACTCGATGGCAAGTAACAACAAAACGACATAGGACAACTGAGTTAAGCAAATCATTTTTCAGTAAAACTTTACTACAAAAAGCGGGGAAATTGGAAAACGAGCCATTGCAACAGAAACATCAGCAAACCCGCCATGGCTCGACTGCTGACCCGCAGATCACTGGATCGAATTCCGGTCGTGGCGGCGACATTTTCAATCAAGGGCAAAACTCTGCAGGCCTGTCTGTTCAGATAAAGGTGCACGTTATAAAACCATAGGTAGTCAAAATTTTTGGAACCCTCCATTGTAGTTTAGGGACGCTAAATCCCGGCAATTACTGTTAATTGTGTTAGTAGAGACAGTAGCGATTCCGTGCTATCAGCAGAATGTTGTTGTGTCTTGGCGTTCTAATGTATTTTACTGTATTCTATACATTCCTAATGTTCAGACCCTTCCGTGACTGTCACAAGATGCGTAAGCCGAAACAAAAGCTATGTTAGTGGTATGTACACGGAATGCCCCTTAGATTGTGTTAACCATAAAGGTTCGCTGTTTCTCCAGAGCGTTCACACTCTGTGACTGGCTCATAAGTTGACTTCTCGGCCGACTAAAAAATGGCTCGTACACAGTCACCTTAATTGCTTTAAAATATCCATGACTGTCATAAAGCGTTCAATTCGTGCGAAGCGTGCGGTATATACACTGGGAAAGTCCCACAGGAGGTGTTCAGCCAGAAAGTGTGTTTCTCTCCTGTGGAGTTTAGATTTTTGCAACTGGCTCGGTGACTGGACCACTGGTAGACTCGGTGATTGGCTCGCTGACTGGAAGAGGAAGACTTCGGATTGCTACCCTATAATTTAGAAGGAATGTGGGAATGCAAAACAAATAATAATAATATGTGAGGTTTCGCGTCTTCGAACCACGATACGATTAACAGAGACATTGTAGTGGAGGGCTCACCACGCAGCGGTGGTCTAGTGGCTAAGGTTCTCGGCTGCTGACCCGCAGGTGGCGGGATCAAATTCCGGCTGCGGCGGCTGCATTTCCGATGGAGGCGGAAGTGCTGTAGGGCCGTGTGCCCAGATTAGGGTGCTCGTTAAAGAACTCCCAGGTGGTCGAAATTTCCGGAGCCTTCCACTACGGCGTCTCTCATAACCATATGGTGGTTTTGGGACGTTAAACCCGACATATCAATCAATCAGTGGAGGCCTCCGGAAATTTCGACCATCTGGCGTTCCTTAACGTGCACTGAAGTCGCAGAGTAGATGGTCCTCTACCATTTCGCCTCACCAAAATGCGACAGCCGCTGACGGAATCGAACCCGCGACTTTCCGGTCGGCGGCCAAGCACCTAAGTGACTAATCCACCAGGGCGTACCATTATTGAAAGAGAGGAAGAAAAGCCTGCGACTACACCGTAGGCTA